ATTCGAAATGGGTATTTAGTGGTATTGAAAAGGATAGTAATAAATGTTTTTTAAGGTTGTGCGAGAGAGAAATAAAGATATTTTATTATGTTATTTATTTTACCTCGTATCTTGCTTTGAAAGATAAGTATGATTTTAAAGATTCTGAAACAGAAGGAAGAAAAGTGTATCCGCCACGTAATCAAGATTCTGAAGAAGATTAGGTAAGTTAGTATTTTTAATTATTTGAGGATATTATTTTTATGCATTGTTGTAAATGTAAGGTGGAAAGGAATTTGGTATTATTGGGAAAATTGTTATTAGCAATGATTTAGTTTAAAGTAATTAGGATTGTAAGGTAATTTTTATTAATTTAATGTATGTGCTCATTTATATTTTAAGTAGTGTTTTTGAATTTAATTATATTTTAAAGAAATGATAGTTATTTTGTGAGTTTTATGTTTGTAGGAATTTGGTATACGTTTAAGTTGAAATAAACGTGCATGGAAATAATTTAAATATTTGATATTAAGTATTTGTAGTGCTTGAGGTATGAATTCGTTGGTAACGTGTATAATGTAATAGATGATTTAGAGGTAAAAGTTTTTGGATATTCTATTTATTTTATATATGGAAATGTTGATATTTGTAAAGGGTAAATACTTTTTCGCGATCATGTAATTTCATATATGTTCTTTTTACCGGGTTTAAAGATTGAGAAAATTGTCATGTATTTTCGTGAAATTTTTTTAATTTATGAGAAAAAAGCAGTGTACATGGATATAGTGAAGAGTGTGCGCAATGCCATTTTTGTGCAATTCTGGGATTTTTTTTAAGTAAAAATAAGTCGACGTGTACATGGTTTAGTGATATTTTAATGAAATGATAGTTATTTTGTGAATTTTATGCTTGTAGGAATTTGGTATACGTTTAAGTTGAAATAAACGTGCATGGAAATAATTTAAATATTTGATACTAAGTATTTGGAATGCTTGCGGTATGAATTCGTTGGTGACGTGTATAATGTAATAAATAGATGATTTAGAGGTAAAAGTTTTTGGATATTTTATTTATTTTATATGTGGAAATGTTCATATTTGGAAAGGGTAAATACTTTTTCGCGATCAGGTAATTTCATATATGTTCTTTTTACCGGGTTTAAAGATTGAGAAAATTGTCATGTATTTTCGTGAAATTTTTGTAATTTATGAGAAAAAGCAGTGTACATGGATATATAGTGAAGAGTGTGCACAATGCCATTTTTGTGCAATTCTGGGATGTTTTTTTAAGTAAAAATAAGTCGGTCGTGTGTACATGGTTTATGTGTATATATGTTATTTTGAAAAATGCGTAAGGAGGATGGTATTGTGCAGTTTTTCCTAATTTTGCAGTGAATATTTGTCATGATTAAGCTGTTTTGTTTGATAAAATTTCTAGCATAAGTGTAATTCGGCTAGTAGATTGTTGGAAGAAGTGTTCAGGTGACAAAAAGAAAAGAAACATGTCTTTACTTCGTGAAGACAAAATGGCGGCGGGGAAAAAAAAAAAATAGAGGGTTGCTGTAAAAGAGTTGGTCGCCAAATTTTCGCCAAAAAATCGCCGTTACCATAATGTAAAGATCAACCGCTATTTACTATTATACTTCCTTTCTATACTCTTATACTTTCCTTTTTGGCAGCATTGACATCAACAATAGTTTGGCGATTTTTTACGGCCGTCGAAACCAAATAGTACCGAAAAATCATTCCTTTATAAAAAAATTTAAAATATTTTAATTAATATTCTAAATTTTTTTGTAATAATATTTTAAATTGGTACTTTTCCGTTTCGCCGGCGCCAAATCTCACCAAGCAGACTTTATTGGCGACAACATACAGTATACACATAAAAAATATTTTAACAAATGTTCAGTTCTAATTTTTTATTTTTTTTTTGAAGGCATAAACATTTTAATATCGCTTAAAATTTTATAAAAAGGCCAATAAATAAAGACCAATAAATTTGTAAAAAGACATTAATTTAAGAATTTACTATGCTTTACATGGTTCAACATCCTGATTCGCCGGTTTCATATCACGTAATCCCAAGCGATTCTCATCTCACATAAACTACTCTACAAAAATCTAATGCTCTGACAGTAATATTTATCTATACATTAATTTCAAGTTAAATCTTGATTTGGAACACAAGTTTAAATGCAAAAATATTTCAATTCGTGCGAATAGCTTACTCAGAAATTATGTAAAACTGCAGTGCTTTACTTCGCTAATGCATTCTCATTAGAATGGATGAATTTAACCCTTGACTTTACCTTTTCTATATTTTCGGCTTCGGGTAAGCGCTGTGATTGTATTCTAATTGACTTAATTACCGAAAATGGCCTTAGACATAAAACTGAACTATCTGATAAAAATTCTATGTAATTATATACCAGTATTGAAAGAAACAATGAATCTGATAAGAAAAAGCTGCGACTTGTTTTGAAAATGAGGCGTAAAACGTTACCAGCGAGAATATTCCGTTTGGCATCGGTTGTACCATTATTGGCGACTTTATCGCTTGCGCCGGCAAAACGGAAAAGTACCTTTAAATTTTTTGCACTGACAAAGTGATTCTAAAAATTTTATTATAAATCCGAGCTACTATGAAACTGGTTATAAATCTGTTGTAAGACTGAATTCTTAAGATTTTCTATATTGTCTTTAAAAATTAAAAAGTGCTATTTATTTTTTAATTTGTTATATATTAGCTTGGTCTTCAAATATTAAGACAGTTTTAGATGGTGACAGTCTGAACATTACGTGCAGTGAAGAACAAAATTTTATTCTGCTGTAACTAAAAAAGGAATTTTTTACATCACATGAAGACAAAAGTAACAGCATATATTACACACATGTTTATTAGAGTTCTAATATCTTCACAATGATAAGACACCACAATATCATTGCTCAATATACGGCATAAGCACAAAATTTTTTTGGAAGCACTTCCGCAGAGAACCCGGTAAATGTACACATCGCGAACTTTGGCGATAATAGTTCAAACCTGGTAACCCTTCGGATATATCTTATTCGCTTGTTCGAAGTATGCAACCATTCCTCTTGTGTTTATTTTGTTGAATTATCACTGTCGTTGTTCGCATTTGCAGATTTATATTATTCTTCTCTTATTTATTATTATTTTTTCTGAATTTTTTAACAACAAATAAATAGAAATATTTTCGTAGCTAGATGCCAGTTCTCGTTCGGGATGAAAGGAGGGGTGAATGTTAATTTGTAACATGGCTGTTCAACGTTGTGTTCTTAATTATTAACAGCTCTAAGAACCATGAGGTTTCCAGCGTCTAAAATAATTTGCTTTCATAGACCGCAAAAATGTGCATGTGCATTTTAAATAATTAAGTAATGCTTTTATTTTTATTATTGGTTATTGTCATCTAAAATTCTGAGAATAAATCAATTTTTATGGTGTAAAATTTTAACAATATATTGTTAATGCTTTTCTAACAATAACCTTTCAGAGGATGGCAGGTGTGACATAAATAGATGATTAAATTGAAATAAAAAATATATTGATTATCTAAGATGACAGAATAGTTTGATGCATCACCATGGTCATCAAAATTAGCAAACCACTGCTGGTGTAAGGAATATATTGTTTTCTGTGTTAACTGGAATTTAAGACAAATTTTTTTCGTATATCACGTTTAACCGGTTAATTTCAGTATATTAATACTAATTTATATTTTTTAAATGAATTTTTATTTCCGTTATAAATGCTTATATATTGTCTTATGCTTAATATATTCTTTTCTGTGCTAACTTGAATTTAATACAAATTTATTTTCGTATATCACGTTTAACCGGTTAGTTTTACATCTACATGCTTATTATCTGTGAATTTTTACTACCATATGCTTAATATATTGTTTTATCTGCTAACTTGAATCTATATGCACTCAAAATCACGTTTACCGCTCAGCTCATCGCCGATGAACCGCGAGCTTGGCGAGTAAAAATGATACGACGCCAATGGGTTCTTTCCCGAAGCACCAACAGGTTCTCTGCGCATGAAAACCCAATATTTTTTCATACTTCTAATGAATTTAATGCTTAAACATTAGGTATTCTTTATTCAACAATTTTGACACAACAGTTAAAGCATGAGCTAAAATTTCCTGAATTATACTTTTATGTCTCAGGACACTTACCATATTCACAAAATTATTGAATGAAAACGCTTCAGAAGGGGTAAGAATTTGTTTAATTAACAATTTCAATAAAGCCAAAGTAAGCTGGAAAAGCAGGCAATTTATTGTCCCTATTCAGAAATAAGGGGCCAGGAAAGAGAAGATCAAATTTTATGATATTTGATATTGTTATTATAACATAACACTATTTTAGCAAAATAAAAAAGTTCTTCTACATATTAATTACCATATTTCGCACAAACATATTCTCTCACACTTGGCAAGGTATAGACAGATAGGCAAGAAAAACATGTAAACTTCTGATTTTAATTGGCAGTAGACCCTTTTATTCTTCATTTTAATTTGGGTACTTCCTCTTTCTGTCCTAAAAATAGTAACTATTTATAATAATGCAAACTAAACTGTGTTAATATAGTTCTGCCAATTAAAATTATAAGTCTGCTTTACACATTTTTACACAAATATATACATTAAAATTTACATATGCCTGTCAATATAGATATGTTAAATAGCATATTTAATCCTAGTATATGGGATATATACTATACCGTATACTAGGATTTTAACCAATAGTACTTCAGAGACATAAAATTGCATTTTAGATGAACATTGATATAAAAAAATTGGCAGTTCATATTTATGCACACATAAACATAGATTAAACTCCGCACTTGTTCAAAAATAAAACAATAACTATTCATTTAACATATAAACACTAACAATGACAAAAACGTCACGGAAAATAACTTTCCTGAATTCTTCATATTATTTGCTTAATGCCTCTTTTAACTGCATATATCATTGAAAGTACCTCATAAAACCAGGATCAGATGATATAACATAACCCGGAGTGACAAAAAACTCTATGTCTTGGGCAGGAAGTTCTTCCTCAGGCATTTCTCTACTCAGTCTTATATCAAACATTTTTTGGAATATTTCTCTCAATGCTTCTTACATTTAAAAACATGTTCAGATGCGCAGCTCCAATATGCGCCTGCTGAACCACTGCCATATACTTAGAACTATATATGCTTATCCGAGAACCAAGGCTCGTTCTTCGGCTTAAAGAATTATGCCGAGATTTTAGCTCATGACATTATATATCCAAAATTAGTTAATATAGCTGCAGCATATTAAACTAAACTATAGTATGCATAAAAAACGGAGTATACAGACTATTCCCGCTTCTTCATTCGAGGAGATTTGTTTGAGTAAGTTAGATCAGTGTCTCTCAACCGCTGGTCCACGGACCAGCACCGGATGCGTATTTCCAAACCCTACCCTAAGGCTAGCTCTACCCTACCCCACTTTTCGAATTTTTGACGTCATGGACCAAGGCCAACTCAACTAGATCTAGTTGGCCTTCCATGGACGCGTATTTCCAAACCCTACCCTACTTTTCGAATTTTTGACGTACGGAAATATCGACTAGTTTCACCTGGCAAGACGCCTACCCCACTTTTGACTACTACGGCGCGCTTTCGAAAGAATTGTGCTTCTGAATAGTGTGTTTAGGTGCTAATTGTAAGATTTTCGCAATTTAAATTATTATGAGTGGGAATTTACGCAAAATCTTTAGTGAATGGTTATTGTTTATCGCCGTAGTGTATTTGAGGAAAGAGGAGAATAATTCACTGCTGATGTATACATTAACAGTATGAAAAATCTGGAAGGTGATACTCGGCAATAAATGTGCTGCATTTCATCGCAAAAATTCAGCGACGCCAGTAAAAACAAACGAAAGTGTTCGAAAAACTTATCCACATCTGAAGCCACTATACAAAAATTGTATGTGTGCCAATACAGCAATTTAACTACAAAAAAAAACAATTGCAATGGAATGACTTGCACTGTGTTAATGGAAACTTCAGAAAATCAAGGATCAAGGGATAAGAAAGAATTGCAGTGCCTCTATGTGCTTAAAAACTACGAAGCATTCTGCAGACTTTCGTGCCAAAATCAAGGTTGACAAATAGATTAATACATTTTATTGTTTCTTTTAGTGTATATATTTCAAAATTATTAAAATAACTTGGAACAGTTGTTTAATTGCTTAAAACAGCAATAAAGTTCATTTATAAAGATATACAAGGAACTTCATAATTCATTGCTTTGATGGTGAACAACTGAAATTTACTAAATTACCTAACTTTATAACATTAAATATCTTCGTAACTGTGTTATTATGCTCTTTATAAAAGTTTAGTTCTAAAAGCTTAACTACTTACTATTCATTTGTTATACATTAAGATATTTTCTGATTTATTTTACTAAATGCGTAATCAATTATCAGGATTACTAAATGTATTAAGAATTTCCATACATGCTTGTGCAGTGTGAATGCATGTGTTGTGTAATGAACTTTGATTTTCATGAACGAAAAAGAAATACAATCTCGAATAAGTACTTTTTGTTTTCCAGTTCCTGTGTTTAGCTGTAAAAGTAAATTCACTTCAAGTATGTGTCTGTGCAATTTTGACGATGTAAATGCTGAAATGTATGTATAGTAAAAACTCGACAAAAAAAAAAAAAAAAAAAAAAATATCCGGAAAGCTCTTGAAATTTTGGATAGCCGAGCATATAAAAAATGAAATATTGTTAATAAGTGAATGGAAGAATAAACTACTAGTCTAAAATCATAAAAACAGTTCATCTTATTTGTATGAACTTGACTATCAAAAGTCAGTATTTAATATTATGCACGATTTTGAAAAAATGTATGCTGCTGATCTTTGAATATGATAACGGGTGATTTTTACAATGGTTGTTACGTGGATTAAGACTGCAAGTTGAGACTTTAAATATGAACAATAGTAATCTGAAAATTTGAAGTAGTAATTTTATATGCAACAATCTCTGCCAAATAACTTCCATGTTTTAAGTAATTAAAAAATATACCGTAATTTCCGGACCAAACGCCGCGGCGTTTATATGTTTAAAACTTAAATTTTCAGCGGGTGCGGCGTTTCTACCCATGCGGCGTTTAGGTGCACTAAAAATAAAATATTTCCTATGATGGTCATTGTACATGGTTTGGATGGCCTTGTCATGTGCGTAGGACTGGTGCGTTCCCACACAAAAGACCACTCAGTTGATTTTTGCGAGCTTATTTTGTTTACATTCTTTCCCTTGAACGGACCTACATGCCTTATTCACCTAAAGAGATCTCAGAACAATAACATTCTTCCCCCTTTCAAATCAACATTCTCATCAGTTTGAATAGTCTCTCTCCTCTGTCATTCCATTAATCTTCCAGGACCCATCCTCTCCCCACCCCTGCCTTTTCTGCAATTTTTTTCTAAGGCGAACACGACTCCACCTGCCTCGCAATAACGAACTCTGACGTATTTCCCCTTCAGCATGAATGAATTTTTTCTTGGCATTCTGCCAAATACAGATCCCATCAGTTTGGGTACAAGTACTTGTTGGATAGTTTTTAAGTAAGAAGGGAGCGGAAAATTTTTGAAAATGTCTCTAAACGGCACAGAAGCTATACATTTCTTACCTTTAATTTATTTTTGAGTTATGGTTACATTTCATGCATTTTTCTTAACTGGTATGTCATATATCAGGACTTAGGTTGAGTTTTTTCATCTATACGGCCCACGACGATGTCACGCGCAATTTAATCTATTGCGGCGTTTACACTGATGCGGCGTTTCTGTGTAATTTTAATTTTTTTCCCGCCATTTTTCTCGAGTGCGGCGTTTACGCTGATGCGGCCTTTCTTCCGGAAATTACGGTATTTTTAACCACTTATTTTTAATTTTATAAAGTACATTCTATAATTTAAATTTTATTTACTTTCATCTATTTTTAACGTTTGCCATTATAAATTTCATACTATGTACTTTTTTAAGATTTCATATTTGCTAATTAAACTTCCTTTAAAATTTATTTAGTTATTTTATACATACATTTATATTTTATGTAAGAAAGGGCTTTATGTGCAACAGATATGCAGTGAAAATCATTTAACACAAAACTGAGGGGACTGAAATATTTTTTCGGTTAAAGAATATTGAAAAGAAAAAAAAAGCATAATTCAAAAAATAAGTTATTAGAGTATTTAATTCAACAAAATTAAGCTTATTAGAGTACATTTTATTTACATAGATATGTATGTATGCATGTATTTAATAAAAACCAATGAAACAAAAACCATCCACAAGAACTTAATGGAATTTAATACAAAATTTTGAAGTTTTTGAAAAACAAAACATTGAGTTTGGGGAAAATAATCTGATATTTTTCTTTGCATTGTCTTTTTTAGCATCAACTTGTTCAATGTCGAACATTTTGTTATTCATTTCACCATTGGAATGTGCGTCGAAATAGCTGTCCATACTTTTTATGATATTCCTCATTTCAGATGATGTGGGAACAGGAACTGCATTCATTTTATTTTCGTCATCAGAATCTGCATCAATGATATCTTTTTAGCTTTGAACAAACTCCAAAATAAATTTGTCTGCCATAATTAGGGCTGTACACACATTATCATAAACTACTGCAACGAATTCTTCCGATAGTACAGTAGGACAGTTCATTAATACAGAAACTTTCTGAAATATTTCATTAAGTGTCAGCTCAGTTTCAATACCCTACTTCTCCATTTCTTTCGGCGCCGATGAATTTGATACTTTTGAGAATCATGTGTAATGAAAATAATTTTCATTCATCCTTGGAGTCGCTGAATTCTATGCAGTGCAACATATGAGCCAAACTCACTAATTTTTACTCACACTGCCATGTACTCATCACTGAATCCCAAAGCTAACTGATGAGAGATGAGACGTTTGTGTGGCGTTTTTAGACGTGGAAGGTGAAAGTAGCGTAGATAAACAAAACTGGCTCATGTCACAGGCTATTCCGAGGGTATTTCAAAGCCAAATTAGCCTCTTTTCTACGAAGCATGTGAAACCACCTCTCTTTCATTTCACACCCCGCTTAAATCTTGCCTGCGATGCCAGTGTTTTCTGTATTTTTTTCATTTCCAGAAAGGATATCTTTTCGTGTTAAGCAATTTTTGTTTCGTGTTAAGAGAAACAAAATGCATGAAAATACATAGTAGTTTGTCGGGACCGTTGCATTATTTCATGTTAACCGATATTTCGCGTTAAATGTATTCCACTGTATACAGATGTGTTTGGACTATGTATATACAAATAATTTTTTAAAAGGAAAATTTATAATCCTTCCAAAAATTTTTGTGCATTATGCTGTTAAAAATTGATCAGTAAATATATAAAGAAAGCAATTTAGGACCAATTTTTCAGAAAGAATAAAAATTGAAATTCACATTAACTTGATAAAATCTTTTTAAATTGGAAGATATTTTTAATGATTTTACTTACCCCCTCCATTTTCCTTTGCTACTGCTGTTTGATAAGAGGTTCTAGATAAGTTTTGTGTTAAAATTATTTTGAACTTTCAAAGATTTTCCACTGCAGGATTTTAATTTTTTCTACATTTTTAAGGGCATGTTTTCTTTTCTTTTTCTTTTTAGATTCTTTTGAGATTAGAAAAATATTTTTAAATCGGAAGATATTTTCAATGATTTTCCTTCGCTTTGAGGAGGACTAGAATTTTTTGTTGAACTATTAAGATAAAAAATATATTAAAATGGTTCATAAGCTGATTCTGGATACAGAAAAGCAAGGAAGAAGAAAGTGGAAATGTAATTAAATTCGACATAGCTCTGTGATGGTTTATTTTAACATGTTGATTACCGTGGGGGTCACCGAAGACCTGCACTCGACTTGGCTACAGCGCCGTGGGAGTCACCAGCTAAGTGACCAATATTAAAATACATAATTAGAATAAATATTGATACTGATAAATTTTTAAACAGTACCATTGATACTATAATGGTTTGAAGAATAATATATCGTAAAAATTTAAATTATAAATCACAAAAATGGTCTACATATGTTTGGGGGTCACCGGTGACCCCCAGCATGAGAAATGCATTAAGCACGATTATATATAACATTATGTTCTATAGCT